GTGGGTCTCCGGGATGGTCTGGGGGGGTCCCAGGGCTGACTGGGGGGTCCTGTGGCGGCTCTGGGTCCCAGGGCTGACTGGGGGGGTCCCGGGGGTCGCTGGGGGTCCTGTGTCCAGCTGGGGGATCCCAGGGTGTCCACGGTCTTGGGGCTGATCTGGGAGCTCCCGGGGCATGTCGGGGGTCCCAGGGCTGGCTGGGGGTGGGCACCGTCCCTGCCCCCCCCATCCCTCCTCCTGTCTATCCATCTGTCTCTCCATCCCTCTGTCCGGGTGTCCCGCAGGAAGCTGGAGCTGTACTCCATGGAATGGGGGCTGCGGGAGGACCTGCGGGACTGTGTGGTGGCCGCTGCCCCGTATGGGGGGCCCATAGGTGGGTGCAGCCCCCCCCCGGATCCCCGAGACCCCCCCCCCCTTTCCTGACGGCCTGTCCCCCCCCCCCCAGCCCTGCTGAGGAATTCCCGGAGGGACAAGGCCCCCAGCTCCCGCCCGCTCCTGGAGATCTACTCGGCCTCGGGGCTGCTCCTGGCCAGTGTCCCGGTGAGCTGGGGGGCTGGGACCCCCTCTGGGGGGGACGGGGATGGGGGACAGGGACAGACCCCCTCGGGGGCACCGGAGATGGGAGGGGTGGGGGGTGCAAGGGGGACTGGGGGAGTGGGGGGAAGGAGCTGCCCAGGGATGAGAGAAGAGGGTGGGATGAGGTTGGAGCAGAATTGGAGCAGCAGGAGCATCTTCTCTTCGTCCCTGACTTGGCCTGGGAGAAAAGGATGGGACGGAATTGGAGCAGTAGAATTAGAGCAACAGGAACATCCCTCTCTCCCTGCTGCCCAGGACTGGGAGAAGAGGATGGGCTGGGAGTTGGAGCAGCAGGAACATCCTCCCTTCCTTCTGCCTGGGGCTGGGGTGGACACAGGGCAGTGGAGGGACAGGGAACGGTGCCAGGGCAGGTGAGGTACCAGGCCTTTGAAGGAGGTGTCAGGCCTTTGGAGGAGGTGTCAGACCTTTGGAGGAGATGTTGGACCTCCAGGTGAGGTCTCCAGGCTCTGGAGAAGGAGTCAGAGCTCAGCCTCAGCCGTGGCCTCTCGTGTGTCCCTGGAGGGCTGCCCTGGCTCTGGGCTGTCTGGAGCACCCCAGGGTGACCATTCCCACCCATTCCCACCCCATTCCTGCCCCATTCCCACCGTTCCCCAGTGGAAGAGCGGCCGCCTGGTGCACCTGGGCTGGACGGCGGGGGAGGACCTGCTGTGCATCCAGGAGGACGGGACTGTGCTGGTCTACAACTTGTTCTGCGAGTTCAAACGGCACTTCAGCATGGGAAACGTGAGGGGCTGGGGGCACGGGGGGCTGGGGGAGGGCACCTCAGATCCCATCAATCCCACCCCCTGCCATGGGCAGGGACACCTTCCAGTGACCAGGTTGCTCCAAGCCCCGTCCAACCTGGCCTTGGACACTTCCAGGGATCCAGGAGCAGCCACAGCTTCTCTGGGCAGCCTGTGCCAGGGCCTGCCCACCCTCACAGGGAGGAATTCCCTCTCAGTATCCCACCCAAACCTCCCATTTTCCAGTGGGAAGCCATTGCCCCTTGTCCTATCACTCCAGGCCCTTGTGAGATGCCCAGGGTGGGGTTTGGGGGACATGGAATCGAGTGAGGGGCTCTCCCAGCCCTCGGGAGTGCACTGGGATGGATGTGTCCCCGTGGCTCCTGAGGCCAGGACAATCCCCTCCGTGCTGGCTCTGTGAGCTGGGCCCCCCCAGTGCCCCCAGTGCCCCCACACCGTCTCTGGGTGCAGGAGGTGCTGCAGAACCACGTGCTGGAGGCTCAGGTTTTCCACACGGAGTTCGGGACAGGCGTGGCCATCCTGACCGGGGCCTTCCGCTTCTCCCTGGCCACCAACATCGACGACCTCAAGCTGCGCCGCCTGCCCGAGGTCCCTGGTGGGTGTCCCTGTGCCCCCCTCTGCCCCCCTGTACCCCTGTGTGCCCCCCTGTGCCCCCCGTGTCCCCTGTGTTCCCTGTGTTCCCTGTGCCCCCCTGTGCCCCCCTGTACCCCTGTGTGCCCCCCTGTACCCCTGTGTGCCCCCCTGTGCCCCCCTGTGCCCCCCTGTAGCCCTGTGTGCCCCCCTGTAGCCCTGTGTGCCCCTCTGTGTCCCCCTGTGCCCCCCTGTACCCCCTGTGCTCCCCTGTGTTCCCTGTGCCCCCCTGTGCTCCCCTGTGTTCCCTGTGCCCCCCTGTGCCCCCCTGTGTTCCCTGTGACCCCCTGTGCCCCCGTGTGTTCCCTGTGCCCCTCTGTGTTCCCTGTACCCCCCTGTGCCCCCCTGTGTCCCCCTGTCCCCCCATACCTGTCTCACACTGTCCCCCCAGGGCTGCAGCAGCCCCCGGGGTGCTGGGCTGTGCTGTCCCAGGACAGGGTGACCGTGGTGCTCCTGGCTGTGGGACCAGAGCTTTTCCTGCTGGACAACACCTCCTGCTCCAGCGTGGTGAGGAGATGTGGGAACGTGGGAACAGGGGGCTGTGGGCCCTGTCCCTGTGTCCCAGGGGGTGCTGCCAGGTCCTTCTCCTGTCCCAAATGTCCCAGGGGGTGCTCCAGGTCCTTCCCCAGTCCCAAATGTCCCAGGGGGTGCTCCAGATCCTTCCCCAGTCCCGGTGTCCCAGGGGATGTTCCCAGGCCCTTCCCCTGTCCCCAGTGTCCCATGGGATGCTCCCAGCCCCCACACTCACTCCCAGGTCCTTTCCCTGTCCCATGGGATGCTCCCAGCCCTCCACACTCTCTCCCAGCTCCTCCCTCCCACTGTCCCATTTGTGCCCCATCCTGCCCACAGGTCTGAGTGGGAGGGAAGGGCCCCCCAGCTCTGACCCTCCCCCAGCCCCTCCCACCCAGGGGGACACTCTGGGACCCCAGGACGTGTCCCCACGTCCCCCCTGTCCTGCCCAGACCCCCCCCGGGCTGAGCCCCTCGGCGGGGCCGTTCCTGCACATGGCTGTGTCCTTCAACCACCGGCTCCTCGCCCTGTTCTGCGACTCTGGATACATCTGGATGGGCCTGGCCACGCTCAAGGTGAGCCTGGGGGGGCACTGGGGGTCACACGGGGTCCCTGGGGGTCCCCACAGGCTCAGGGCTGCAGGAGCCCATGTGTATATATGTAATATATAACATTTGATTCACGTTATATATCAGAATTGTCTGTCTGTGGCCATGCTGGAAGTCTGAGGAGGGAGTTCAGGAGTGTAGCAACTCTGAATTGCTGGAGCCACAGCAGTGGAGATATATTTTTAATAATCAGGCAAAAAATTAATGAGTGATTTTATGACTAAAGTAAAGCCCAAATGTGAAATCTGGCATTTTTTCTTTGCACAAGCGAAATTCTTTTCTGGGTATTAATTTCCTCAAATTGGAATTAGAATGGACTTGGTTTAGTTTGATTAAAAACAAATGAAAATCCAGGTATCCTTCACCTGAGTTTATCCCTGGCTCCCACACTGCTGGGCCCTTCCCACCTGTCCAGGTGTGTTCCCTGATCCCCCCTCTCTCCCCCAGGAGAAGTTCTGCGAGTTCAACAGCACCATCCGATCCCCCCCCAAGCAAATGGTTTGGTGAGTGGGTGGTCCCTGCCCCTGGCACTGCCCACCTGGGACCCCCCGAGCCTTTCCCGGGATCCCCTGGTCTCTGTGGGACCCCCTGGTGTCCCCACTCAGCCTGGGGGGCTGCAGGGGCTGGGGTTAAGGGGTGGGGGTCCCCTGGGCTCTGTGGGACCCCCTGGTGTCCCTGCCCAGCCCTGGGGGCTGCAGAGGTTGGGGTTAATGGGTGGGGGTCCCGTGGGCTCTGTGGGACCCCTCAGTGTCCCCCCTCAGCCCTGGGGGCTGCAGGGACCGTGGTTAAGGGGTGGGGGTCCCCTGGGCTCTGTGGGATCCCCCAGTGTCCCCCCCAGCCCTGGGGGCACAGGGGGTTAATGGGTGGGGGTTCCCTGGGCTCTGTGGGATCCCCCAGTGTCCCCCCCAGCCCTGGGGGTGCAGGGGGTTAAGGGGGGGGGGGCCCCGCAGGTGCCGGCGGCCCCGCAGCCGGCAGCGAGCCGTGGTGGTGGCCTGGGAGAGGCAGCTCATGGTGGTGGGGAATTCCTCGGAGTGCATCCGGTATCCTTTGGGAAGAGGGGCCGGGGGTGTTCCCAAAAGCCAGCCCAAACTCCTGGCTCCATCCCAGTCACTGCTGTCCCCGGGGTCACCTCGGAGCCCCCCAGGGTGGGCACAGGGCCCTGCCCATGTGCTGTTGGGATCCCCCCTCCCCTCCTGCTCCTGGGGAGCAGCAAAGCCCCCCTGGCCCTTCCCAACCCCTCCAGCCCCCCCTATTCCGGGGGTCCCACTCCCTGTGGTGGGAGCACTGGCCCTGCCCAGGGTGGGTGGGGGATTCCTGCCCCCCCAAGTGCTCTGCAGCCCCCACAGTCTCTCCCAGGCCCTTTCCCTGTCCCATGGGATGCTCCCAGTCCCCCCACTCCCTCCCAAGTCCTTCCTCCCGCTGTCCCAGAGGCAGGTATTTACAGGGATACCTGGCCCCATCCTGGCAGGGAGGAGGGGAGGAAGGGACCCTCCCCTGTGAGCCCCCCCCAGCCCCGTGGTGCCCTCAGCAGTGGGGGGGTCGGGGTTGCACCCAGAGCCGTGTCCCCCCAGCCCTTAGCGGGAGCACAGCTTTGTCCTGGATGAGGATTCCCACCTGGTGCCCGAGCTGGACGGGGTCCGGATCCTGTCCCGCACCTCCCACGAGTTCCTGCACGAGATCCCAGGTGAGGTGGGTGGGTGGGACATCCCTGCTGGGCACCTGGGATGTGGCTGCCCCATCCCTGGGAGTGTCCAAGGCCAGGTTGGAC